CTTTCTCTGAAATGTATTAAGCGGGGGACCAGAAAGTGGGAGTGAGCACACGTCTGTTTATTTATGTAATAATTACAAAAAAACATCTGCGCTACGGTGAAGCAGAAGAACTGAACGACAGCGAGGGACGACTGTAATTCATTTGTGAAGGACAGCTCTCACAGGATAGATTGTATTTTTGGAACCAGAGTTTGCTCAGTAGAGATGTTGAGATTTAAGCCCCGCCCACTCCCCCGCACACATTGAAGATGGCAATAACTAGAAAATAACTGGATGTCTCAAATGTCCCCCCTGGGATTAATAAAGTTATTTCCTTCTTCATTCCTTCATTCCTACCTACCGTATCTATCTATCTATCTATTCTAATCTAATCTAATCTAATCTATATAAAAGGTTAAAGTCCACCATCAAACACAAACAACCACTGTGGTTTATTTGAATTTAAACCTTATGAATAACACATTTATGTAAAGTTTACCATTAAAAATAATTTAATAACAAATCCTATTTCTTGACATGTTTAAATAAATTAAAAAATAAAAATCTTCTGCGACAGACTTTCAATATTTAAGAATGACAGATTCAAATACTTTCATGGAGACTTTGAGAAAAGAAGTTTAAGTTCCTCATGTAGCTGCTCACATTCAAGTCAACGCGAGTTCATAAGTGTTGAAAAATAAAAACCAACGAAGCGTTTATGAAATAAAATGACCACCCGAGAAAAAACCAACACGATGAAAGTGTCTAATCTTATTGTACGACCTGCCGGTCAGAGCTGGCTCCACGTTTCTCACTTCCAATAGTTTTGATAACGAAGAGCCTCAGTGAGTTCATCTGAGAGCGTTTTAAATTAAAAGGACACAAAACGCAAGTGAAGCAGGTCGAGGGTCCGAGAAGACAATTACACAGAGTTTACAGAGAAAACCAAGTCTGCCCAGGCACAGAGAGCCTTTCTGCTTTGGATGGGTGTGTTAGCGTTTAATTTTTCCTCTTTCTTTTCCCAAGGAATAATGCTGGGGGGGGGGGAGGCATGAAAAAGGGGGGAGGCATTAGAAGAATGTCAATATGATTGGAGGGAGAGGAGTGTGTGTTCGCTGTGCGCTCAACAACAATGGCTCCCCAGCCGTGCTGTTCCATGTGCATTCATATGATCCATTATTATCCCTGACATGTAGCGCTGAGCGTGTGTGTGTGGGGGGGGGGGGGGGGGGTCAAAATGCCTGAAAGAGGAATAAAGGGTGAATCAGCCTGAGCCTCACCTGAGTTTGTGTCTGAGAGAAAAGTCATAAAAAGTTACAGAGCTGACAGAAACAGGCGGTCGTTTAATAAACGCCGGGACCGTTTGCGTCCATGACCCCCCCCCCAACAGTCCAGCAGCTCCACGGCAACGCAAACCCACGTTAATTATTAGCCAACGCTGAAACGCAGCCATCCGTCATCTTCAGCGACACAGAAGTAACCGGGCTGGGAGCGAGGACGGAGAGCGGCGTGAAGCTCCAGGACCCGGAGACGAGTTCCCACAAACACAAAAGTTTCGGCTTTTCATCAGCGAAGAGTCTGAAGTGTCTCAAGTTTAATCTGTCCCACCAAAGGTCACCGAGTCGGTCTGAGTTAAAGGGAGTGTCCAGACAATTTCAAGTGGGGTTCAGTGGAAAAGTTGTCAGCATCTTACCTGTTGCAGGTGGGACCGTTACGCCCGACAGTATTAGTTCATTAAGAGCAGCTAGTTTGAACTTCTGACTCTGCAACACGCAGTCATTTACATGCAGAAACAGGCAGCAGCAGCCAGCTGTAGCACTGCCCCTGCAAATCAGGGTCAGATCCAACATAAATTTAATTCTATTTATATCAGAACCAGCTGTGTAAAGTGCAATTAACAGATGAGGATTAAACAATGACGTACGCACGGACATGTATAAAACTTAAAGGATTAAAAACCGGGTTCGCTCGCACCGTACTGACAAGGTAACGATGGCTCGACTCAACTTCTACCTCCACAGTTAAGGCTGAGAAATATATCACAGACTAATGGTTGTCATCTCCGTATCAATATCTCAAAGGATCGCAATAAATCAGACCAGTAGTATTTAAATATCACACGCGCACGTTCCACTGCGGATGGTGTATTTGTTCAGATGATGGTGACGACAGAAGAGCAAGTCAGGAAACGTGTTTTTATCACAACTGATATGAAAATAGCAATATTTAACAATAATATTGCAAGTTTCAAACCTGTAAACTCACATGGGATGAAAAAGGTGACAAGCCTAGTGCCTCTAGTTATGTAGCGCTAAGCTAGCATTGCGTAAGTGTGCTAGCTTAGCGCTTACGAGCTAGTGCGAGCACAGGTTGTGAGTTAGCTAATGTGATTTACTTAGCGCTAGCTAGCACTACGTAAGTCCATTCAATGGGAAATGATGCCATCTACCACACCTATGGCCCCCACTAGAAAAAAAACACACTTCAGATCTAGATGATTCACGTAAATAACACATTTTTTATTGAAATCTGCAAATTTTGCCAAAAAGCAACAAGTCTGCAGGTCTGAAGTTTAACTCGTATCGTGCAGCGCTGGTTTAAAACAACCCTACAGTTCTTTAAAATGTAATTTGTCATTGCACGCTTTCCATCTGAAGGAGCTGCTACTTGTTTTTAAATAACCTCAGAATTTTACGTAATTATTAATTAGTGACGCCGATTATGTTGTAAAACGTCTACGACACGTTTTGTTCAAACTGCTCTGAGATCATCGAGACTGGAGTCGTTTTAAGACGGCAGTGACTTTGGTTTTGTCTCCGACTACCTGTCAGGTCGTTCTGCATCGCATCAACGGGTCGTCGGTTCTGCACAGAGCCACGCCTCAAAATGTCCGGAGCATCCCTTTAAGGTGAGCGTGATCCGGTCCACAGAAGAACTCAGGAAAAGTTCATCAAGGTGGTTCTCAGATCTCCTTCTCTTGACGGTTCTGAGGCGTAGCTGCATTGTTTAGATAAGTCGTGTTAAATTTAGGCCGAATGTCGTCATCACTCCACACACAAACACACACACACACACACACAGTTCTCAGTTTATTTCGTGTCGTTTGAAAACACAAACATCCGACATGAAATCATCTCGTTTTTCAGATGTCTGTCACGTTTCCTCCAGTAAAACACGCCGTCTCACACACTCTAAATAATCTGATCCAAAGTTACTTCTCACTTTGACGTCCGAGCCGTCGTCTTGGTCCACGTCAGACCTGAACAGACGGTCTGAGGTGGACAGTTCCTGCTAAAAATAAAGCCCCCCCATCACACAATCTCTGTCCTCTGCCCCGTCCAAACGTTGTTTCTGTGCGTCCTGCTGCCAAAAACACATTCAGCTAATGAGGTTTGCTTTTCACCAACAACAAACACATAATTTATGAGGGAACGAAGAACGTTTGATCAGAATAAAAGGACTTTACGTGTTCTTTTTACTGCAGGGTTCATATTTCGACACAAGCGTCCGTTAGGGAGGATTTATTCTTGCAGAAATATTGAGGAATATTCTCCCGTTTGTGTCAGCGTGAAGATTTTTGAAACAAAAAGCGACAAACTGGACAGAAAGTGTGTCCTTTCAGAATAAAAGGAGACCTTAATGTGACACGAACCGTTTAAATTATCCGCAAACACACGAGAGTGACTCAGAGCAGCGCCGAACAAATAAACTCTGGTGTGTTTACACAACAACACACGTTAATGTGACTTTTCTGCAACACAAACAACCTCTGACACATTATCTGACACACACACACACACACACTCATAGTGGTTGTGTGTAAACAGACGGTAAACTGTTTGCTTTGTATTTGTTTACCATCTCTGTTTTGTTCCACGCAACAAAAAAAAAAAGAAAAGAAAAAGAAATGAAACGTGCGTTTGTTCATTTAACAACTCACACACACACACACACTCACACACACACACACACACACACACCGAGCTGCAGAGTTAATAAAAGAAAAGTTTTGATCTCGGAGGTGAAAAAGGAACGGAGAATTCAACGCAGGAGTTTCCCGTCAGTTCAAAAACTAACTGATAAAAACGACAAAAATCGGATGTTTTTAATTTAACCCGAGCAATTCAGCTCCGAGTTAAACCTCAGAGTATAATCTAATTTAATCTGAGGAGGGAGAAATCATTCAAAGGACTTGGAGAACATTTTAAAGGACGTTTCTGCCTGCAGTCGTAGCCAAAAGCTTTAAAAATGGCCCAAATATCACCATTTTACTCTCCTTTGGTTCCTGCAAGTTCAACGTGTAAATTGGTGGTTAATCCTGTCAGCCCTGACACACCTACCTGAGGAACCCCCGTCTTTTGATACAAACATTTGAGATAAGCTACAAGAGTTCGTACGTCAGCAGCTGAATATTACTGCGAGCTAAAACGGAGCTAACAGGAAGTACTTTACAAACAACAAGCGTGTAGTAATACACAGTATGATGAGTACAGTTACCTCAGGAGTATGAGTATGTTGACCTTGTTTCTAATGTAAACAACAACAAGTCAAACATTTTGCCTAAAGAGCTTCAGCTGTCCATAACGTTAAAAACAGTCTATTAAATTGAAAAATCAGTCTAAATGTCTAAACACAAATATAATCATAAAAATGTTCTGTCCTCTGCGTTCATGGTGCATTTAAATAAAACTAACTAGTTAAATATTTCATTTTGTATTATTAATACATCTATAATGATTAGGCAACACTTGATATTATTTAGGCAGCAGCTGTGATCATTTGTAAATAAAGTGCATAGTTTAGATTTTTGTTTTATTCTCAGGCAGAAAACTTTGTTTGGATATTTGTGTCATTTTTAAAACTTCCGGTTCTGCGACTTTAAGCAACTTTGTTTGTCAAGAAGTTGAATAAAATCTCCAGAGCGCCAGAAACCTGGAGGAGTTGCTGTTTTTATCGCAGCAGCTGAAAGTTGTGGAGCTGCGGCTTCAGCTGTGTGGAGGACAGATAGGGGGGTCACAGACCTGGCGCTCGTGCAGTCCTGGTACAGGATCTCGAAGTCCTTCCTGGAGATGAGTTTGCAGCGGTTCACGCCGGGCTGGATGGCGCCGAGCCCCCGCAGGACGCGCACCTGCTCCACGGTGCACACCACCGGCGTGATGTCCAGCCTCTTCAGCTTGGTGTAGACGGTGTGCAGCCCCCCCACCAGGTGTTTCAGGAAGAGGTCGAACACCTGCGGCAGGCAGATCAGCTCCTGGCCGTCCACGCTGAAGCTCGCCACCTTCACGCCGTGCACCTCCACCAGCTTGCACTCGCTGCACAGCCCCGCGCCGGACGGGCTCTGCACCAGGCCGGGGGAGCTCATGGAGCCGAGCCCGCTCAGGGAGCCCAGACCCCCGCCGCCGCCGGAGAGCGCGCCCCCTGGTCCGGGCAGGAAGGCGCTGAGCATGCCGCTGGTGAGCCGCGGGGACGGGGACAGGGAGTGCGGGTGGGAGTTGGTGTGGGCCGGGCTGGAGGTGCCGGTGGAGGCGGCGGAGGTGTGGAGACCCTCCGGGGCAGAGCGGTAGAGCCCGACGGGTGTTGGTGCTCCGGAGCCCGGGGAGAGGAGCGGAGGGGAGCCGGGGAGCGACATGGAGGAGGTGGGAGAAGTGCGGCTCCCTCTCTTTCCAAACACTTTGCGCCTCTTCTTTCACACTTTTCCTCTCACTTCCTCCTCCTCTGTGGTTCTCCTGGTGGTTCCTCCTCAACTCTTCCCTCTTTCCGTCCGGAAACAACTGTGGAAACTCGCGCGTGGACAGTCCAGTCCGGTCTGTGCGTAAAAACCCACCAGAACAGACACCCGGTCAGCCTTCGCTTTGGCCCCGCCCCTGACGGGTAACTGACAGGCCGGCGGACCAATCAGATCGAAGCTCCGTCTCTGCTGGGTCCGCCTCTCTTTGTGTTTATCGCTGCATAAAGTTTCTCACGAGCGGATTCTCTCCCACAAGTTTTTATTTTTCTGTACATCTTTATATACATATATTTATATAAGTATATAAATTATTTATAAACCTCATCCTCACAACGAGCGGCTGTGTGTCCTTGCGCGTGCACGTGTGCTGGTTGTGGCTCATGTGCGGGCTCTGGCGGCGGGACGGTCTCTGATGGATGAAGTGATGTAAAAAAGTAAAAACTGATTTGTTTTAATCCTAAATGAAAGGAGGAAGAGGAAGAGGAGGATTAACATGAATTGGCAGCGCGTGTTTAAACAGTGAAATGAGATTGAGTGGTGTGGATTACAGACAGACTGCTTTTATAATCCCATGTAATCTCATTAGACTGAGAAGGGATGAAGGGCTGGGGGGGTGGGGGTATTTAAGTGTTTGAACTCATCCGTCTATTATTGAAAGAAAGGGCGGGCGATAGTGTTTTTTAATGTCTGTCTGTTAGCAAAATATCTTGAGAACAACTGGCTGGATTTGAATGAAAGTCGCAGTAAACAATCCACGGATGCACGCCTAAAACTTTTGGAGTCGATCCGATTAAAGTCAGCCGCCACAGCTAATCCAATTTATCGAACGCAGACACGTTTGTAGCTCAGTCAGTGTTGCAGAGCACGAGTTAAAACCTTGACTGGTAGTAGCTGAGAGTCATCCTCATCACATAATCTGAGCTCAAACTGATCGTAAAAGGTCTGTGGTTGAAACTCTGCCTTTAAAGTTTTGGGCCCGTCCCGCTTCGTTAGCAAAATATTTAACGAACCACTCGACAGATTTTCAGAAGAACTTGCTGAGAAAGAGCTGAAATTAGCTAAAAACATGCTGAAATGTAGCTGAAATGGAAGAACAAGCCTAAATTAGCAGAAGAAATCAGAAATGACACGTTTGCTGAATTAGAGTTGAATAAACAGAAATGAGCACATAAACTAGGAATTTAGCTAACAAAGATTAAACTAGCAAAAAAACAGCTAAATTGTAGCTGAAATAGCAAAAATAAAAAATAAAAAAAAGCTGAAAGGAGCACGACAAGCTGAAGTTAGCAGAAAGAACTTATTTAGGCTGAAAGTAGCAGAAATTACTATGAACAACTTGAATTTATCTGAAAATGGCTGAAATTAGCTAAAAAAAAATGCTAAAATAAAATAAAAAAGGTAGCTGAAAAGGTTGAACAATTTTAAATTAGCAGAATAAAGCAAAAAAAAACATGTTTGCCCAATTAGACTGAAAGAAGCCGAAATGAACAAAAAAAAGTGGAAATGTGATAAAAGCTGAACTTAGCAAGAAACAGCTGAAAAGTGGCTAAAAGCCAGAAAGAAGCTGAAACTAAAAGAAGGAATTGGAGAATTATGCTGAAAATTTAGAAATTAGTGCAAAAAATGTGGAATTAGCTGCAAAAGCTTAAATTAGCATAAAAACAGCTAAATGGTAGCTGAAATAGTAGAAAATGCTGAAACTTTCAGAAAGGAGCCTAAGAAGCTGGAATTATCAGAAAGAAGTTCGAAGAAGCACAAAAATGATGGTAACCAGCAATAATCTGGAAGGAGCACAAAACAGCTGAAAAAACTGTTGAAATTAACAGAAAGTAGCTGAAAAACAGTTTACATTTGCAGAAGAAGCTGAAAGCAGCTGAAGTGAAAGGAGCAGTAAAAGGTTGTGAACAGATCTGAAGGATGTAAAATTAGATCAATTCATTTTCTATGAGGGGAAAAAAAAGGGCAGAAAAAACTAAATATTTCAAAAAGCTAAAGTTGCACCAACACCAAAAATCATAGCAGGACTGTCCTGAAGGAGCCGAACGTTTTGACTCATGATTTGATGAAATAGATGAAATCTGCGGGACGGGAAAGATGCTGAAAAATGTACAGGAGAAAACTGGATCGCAATAGAGTGAAAGCTTCATAAACGTTCAGCCATTAAGAGTTTTAAAACAAAAAGATCATCTCTGAAGACACGCCTGTTTGAACATTTGGATTTAAAGGTGGATTAGGACGAGTAAACGATATTTTAGTAACTAGGATCGCCACACGGCGTCTTTGTTGACTCGTATTCACACAAATCTGGATTAAAAATCAATACTTTAATTGTTTGACGCCGCAGCCTGAGCACATTCGGACTCATTGTCCCCGCATGGCTCACGCGCGTGTTGAGGATCGAGCTCAGCGACTACCACACCCAGCTGAAGATGAACGTTTGCAGAACTGACTGGGTTGTTGCTTCAAGTCAGTGGCAGCCATCTTTAACCCGATCAACCTTCAGAGTCAGATTCTTTATTGTCGTTCCACCTCATGTGGTGCATGTGGTGGAATGAAATTATGTTCACAGGGTCCCAGTTACATCCAACAATAAAATGTAAAATAAAAACAGTCATAACATCAAAGATATGAACTAAGAAAAACATCAGCTAAAATACGCTAAGCACTAATGGCATGAAAACAACAACCAATACACCGAACAGCAGCACAAGGACACTCAGTTGTAGACGTATGGAAATTTGTTAATTTTTGAGCATTTAAAAAGAGATATTTTGCTAACAGACCAACATCATCACCCACGGTTCGCCTTTCAGCAGAAGCCCATAAATTGAACCATCAAGCCCGTTAATCCGGTTGTGCTGAATTAGCTGCAGGTTGTGAAACTTGTTTTATTTCTGTCGTTTCCTCCACCTCTAAGCAACAAATCACACGTTCAGCCTCGATTTGTGGAGTTTATCTGAGCTGTTGGAGCTCTTACAACATCCTTCACCTGGAAAGAAGAATCGTTTGCTGCTCGTTAATACGCCTTTTTTAATTTCAAATGGAGCAAATAAAGAGTTATGTGAAACGTGTTTGAAAGGGCTGAAGGAGAAACGATGGAGCGCAACTCGAAGAGTTAAAAAAAAAAAAAAGTTAAGTCAGAGAAAGACGAGAGTCAGAATGTGACGGTCCGTCTCTGAGGATTAATAATCATCAAACTGAGGCTGGACTCGGAGAAAGACAGAGAGAGATGAGCTCTTAGTGGAGGTGAAGAGCTCTCAGTGGGGACATAATCACCAGGATGAACTTGAAGTTGGACGTCTGGACGTGGAGACAGAAAGAAACGAAGAGGAGCAAACGATCGAGGATGAAGGTTTCTGACATCAAAGTTTGACTTTTCTAACACAGACTTAAAAAATAAACTTTAGCTTTTTTGTAGATGACATGATGCTTTGTTCATATTCAGGAAGTGAAGTTATCTTTATGGATGATGTCATCTTTAGGCTTCGTGCGATAAACAATAAATCAATTAATCGCATGATGAATGAAAATTATCAACCTCATTTTAATTTATCAGCTTCATCGTTTCTTCGTGTCTCTCTTTCTACTGAAGACACTGGATGAGAAAAGACTCAACTCCGGTTCTTCACTGACCCCTCCCTTTCTCTTTTCTCTTTAAAATACATTTGAACCGTCCACAATTGCGTTTTTGGATCGTTAAAAGCAGCTAAGCTGAGAAGCTAAGCTACGAGCTAAGCTAACAAGTCGACCTCGGGGAAAAAGCCTCCGTCTTGTCGAAGCTCCAGAATTCACGGTTGAAACCCGTGCCTTCGTGGAAAAAGTTGTTTTTTCAAACAGTCTTGTACTGCCATCCTGTGGTCAAAAAAAGGTACTACAACAAAACAAATTACCAACATTTCTTCTTAAATTTGACAATAATTACTAATTATTGTCAAATTTCAAACAATATTATCGTTTATCGCAATAATTTCTGAGACAATTAATCGCCCAGCAAAATTTGTTATCGTGACAGGCCTAGTCATCGTGCTCTGAACCAATAAGAAACAAAGACTTCTCCACATCCAATTAATGATTTTTAACTTTGGGTTCCTCGTCTCTTTAAGTTACATCTCAGCAAACACAGATTGGTAATTTCTGATAGAGTTCGACTGACATCAGTATGGCTGATATTTTAGGCCTATATAGGCATTTGGGGACATATCGTTACCAGTAATAACTGTCCTGTTGTGCACTGATATATAAACACTTCTAATTTCCACCCCTAAAATGCAGAGAACAAACTGTAACTGTACGATGTATCCAGCAGAGGGCGCATGAAGACTACCTTCAAGTCATGGCCGTTCATTTTAAGTTTCACTTTCAGCGCAGCCAGATGTAGCGTATTTTGCTGAACGGAGCAAAACGGAAAGTTTATTTGAACTGATCTGTAAAATTTAAAAGAATCAACAATAATAAATGCTCTTCAATCTTCCATCTTGCTTGTCATTAGCTACCTCTCACGTTAGCAAGCTAACATTTAGATAACTAGCGTAGACCGTTGCCTTGTAAAACTTAATCCAGAACAATAAATCTACGTAGAGGTAAAATATATCATTGTTAGTAACGGTACCTTTGTCGTCCTCAATGAAATGTTTGTCTGAGAAAAATAAACTCTGCTGCTGCGGTCAATACTGATTAGACCTTCACCGTACATGACTGTTGAAGGGCGTTTCTTTGTTTAATGTATGTTTTTCTAACACACTTAATAACTTTATGATGAATAGTAGAGGATAGAAAATGTGAACGCACATTAGGAAAACTGTTTCAAGACTTCAAACAGGTTTAAAAGTAGCTGTTTAGAGAATTGGGGTGGACAAAGCTAAAGTATTTTCAGCTAATACATCAGTTATCGGTACTAGCCCCTCCTAATATCAGCACTGTTGATAGCCAAAACTTCCGTATTGTTCGGACTCTAATTTCTGACATAAAATATTTCTCA